CGAACCACCGACCTTCTGATTAGTGGCTGACCTGCTCTGCCACCTGAGCTACAGCCACCCCCCAAAATTGATCTGTACAGATCAATTTCCAGGCCAAGAATTCCCCCATCATAAGAGTTTATGACAGCTAGTCTGTTCACTCAAAGCAGTGGTAGAAAACCTTGCATAATTAGGAATTTTGATTTCACACAATTAGTGAAACAGTAGCTTTGTGCCTTTGTGCCTTTTCAGGTGGACAGTCTCATGGCTTCCATCAATGCACTGAACGATGAGAAACAACAACTGCAAAAGCTGCTGGAGACCAGAGAAAAAGAGGTTTATCTTAAATTTATTCAAATATAAAATACAGAGGAGAAGATCTTCATATAGTTTAGATGAAATGGTGATTTTAAAAGTGAAACAGTAGGTCAGGTGCCTTTGTAATCTTATCATATCCAAACCCTGTTTTAATTTCAGTTAGTGGAGAAAAAATAGAAATAGTTTTACTTTTGTTTAGATTATTTTGTTACATTGTAAGTACTTGGAAGGTGTATATCTTATGTCTGTTTGAAGTTGCCCTCTGACTTCTGTATGACCTCTGTTCCTTATGTGCACCATAATCATCACCCCTGTGGTGCTTTACTATTTCAGTATTTCAAGATTCAGACACCTGCAGGTTTTTCAAAGTCCAGCATGTGTCTGTGTGCCTGTGTCTATGTGAAACTGGGCAAATGCCGTAGACAGACAGTTTCTGTGCCAGTGCCAAGGCCCCTGTTGAGCACTGTCACACCTGTGCCATAAAAATACAGACATACAGATACAGATATGTAATGTATATTTATAAAATTTCAAGATTCTCCAGTTTTCGTTAATTTGACCCACACTGGTAAATCTAATATCCATCTGAGGAGATACAGGTCAACTTGTTGCATCTGTAAAACAAATATGGCATTTAAAGATATTTTCATTTTTGTGTATTTTGGGTCACTATTTGAAAGTTATCAAATTTCATTATAAAAAGAATGACAATGAATGTATTGTTACTGCTGTCACATATGACAAAAGATCTATGTAAAGTAAAAGGTTTAATAGTGCTTTTTGTGTTTTTGTTTTGTTTTCCTTTTTTGTTTTAGTTTAAGAATTATTGTCGAGACAAATCTGTGACATAGAAAAGTATGGGTCTATTATTAAGCTTACAGTAAAGGATGATACCAAATTTCTAAAGAGCCTCTCTACCTGTTCAAACATCACATTTTCTCTTTGTTTGTCAGGCAGAGAACCAAAAACAAGCTGATAAGAAGTTGAGGGAAGAACTGAGGGAGACACAAGAACAACTGGACAACAAGACAGAAGAAAACAAACAGATTAAAAGACATGTACACACGTCCATTAATATGTATCATTGTGTCACATATCACACAATATTAATGTGGTGGTGAATCACTGAGCTTCATTATGTGCATTCACAAATATGAAGGGAATAATCCCAAAGAAACAACGATTTTTGGATGGCTGCAAGATTTCTGTAAAGTTATCAGTATAACCATACTCAAAACTGATAATTTTTAAAAAAATATCAGTTTAACATTTTTGCCAAACTAGTGTAATTCTAATGAGATATTTCCAGCTAGTTGATGAATTTTCATTACATTAATTTTTTTTTAAATATAACTTGTTTTTCAGGTGGACAGTCTCATGGCTTCCACCAAGACCCTGAAAGATGAGAAACAACAACTGCAAAAGCTGCTGGAGACCAGAGAAAAAGAGGTTTATCTTAAACCTTTTCAAAAATAAAATACACAGTAGAAAATCTGCATATATTTTAGATGAAATGGTGATTTTGAAATAAAACATGCTGGCTTTGCTTTCACGCCCTCATTCCTTTTTTTTCTTTTTTTCTTTTTTTTTTTGTATTTGATCCATGTTAAGAAATATATAGAAATATATACACCAAAGATACACATGCTGACATTAAATTCCATCTTTCTGTCTATTAGCTGGAGAAATGGAA